TCTTTTAATTATTATTTTAGTGACTTTTTTCCCATAATTCTTTCCTTTTTGTTTTATACAATTTCATTTGGAAGGATGGAGGCTTCTTAAATTTTTACACTTTTCTAATAACGGATCGTTATATATTTCATAGCATCTCAATCTTAAATTAGTTTTTTTAGAGTTTTTAATCTCTTTATTCAAATATCTTAGATATCAATTTAATTAAAATTACTTTATTAGAGAGGTTGTATTTGTTTTTTCTTTATATAGAGTATCTTATTTAAAAAAAGATACTAATTTTTATCTAATTATAATGAATTATCTTCAATGAGTTCTCTTTTAGAAATAATAGAGAGATCATTATATATTAATTATTAATCTAATCTCGAAATATTCTATAAATATATTTATTAGATGTAATACATTTTCGAGGGTTTATGTACATTAAAATACTAATAACTTTTCATGCTTTGAATATTATTTTAGAGATCTAATGATACCCAAAATTTTGCAATATGATAAAAAGAATTAGACCTTAAAATATCCATGTTGAGTTTCATAATCTATTAGATACATAAAAAAATGTTTTAGCATATAAGATATAATTAATAAATAAATCTGAGGATTGGGGTTGGATTAAAATATCATAAATAAATATCTAATTATTTATTATTGAGGCGAATTAAATGATAAACAATTTACCTTAATTTAAAGGGACAACTTAAGATTTTTTTAATTTAAAAGGCATATCAAATTATTGATTAAAATTAATTATTTATATATATTTAAAGTTTATAAATATTAATTTTTAGGGCTATGATTTGATCAATTTAATTTTTAACTTTGATTTTTTTTAATAATTTATGATAATTAATTCCCTGAGTCTATTTATATTAATTATTATTCTTTAATTAATGTTTTTATATTATAATTCAATAAGCAGCTATAATATTTAATATTTGATTATATTTTCCTTTCTATTAACAAGAACTAATAGATTGAAATTAATTGATTTATTTTTATATTGATTGTAAATCATANAGGCAAATTATTGTAAAAGTGTATTAATTAAAGTATCCTTCTTTGGATATCAAACCAAATCTATCTGTTTCAAATTAACTATTTTCAATGACATAATATTGATATATTTAGAAAGATCTCATTTTTTTCATAAAGCTTTGAATTAGTAAGGTAAATCTCTATATAATGTTCTTAAAGAAGGGATTCATTAATAGTTCTTTTAATTATTATTTTAGTGACTTTTTTCCCATAATTCTTTCCTTTTTGTTTTATACAATTTCATTTGGAAGGATGGAGGCTTCTTAAATTTTTACACTTTTCTAATAACGGATCGTTATATATTTCATAGCATCTCAATCTTAAATTAGTTTTTTTAGAGTTTTTAATCTCTTTATTCAAATATCTTAGATATCAATTTAATTAAAATTACTTTATTAGAGAGGTTGTATTTGTTTTTTCTTTATATAGAGTATCTTATTTAAAAAAAGATACTAATTTTTATCTAATTATAATGAATTATCTTCAATGAGTTCTCTTTTAGAAATAATAGAGAGATCATTATATATTAATTATTAATCTAATCTCGAAATATTCTATAAATATATTTATTAGATGTAATACATTTTCGAGGGTTTATGTACATTAAAATACTAATAACTTTTCATGCTTTGAATATTATTTTAGAGATCTAATGATACCCAAAATTTTGCAATATGATAAAAAGAATTAGACCTTAAAATATCCATGTTGAGTTTCATAATCTATTAGATACATAAAAAAATGTTTTAGCATATAAGATATAATTAATAAATAAATCTGAGGATTGGGGTTGGATTAAAATATCATAAATAAATATCTAATTATTTATTATTGAGGCGAATTAAATGATAAACAATTTACCTTAATTTAAAGGGACAACTTAAGATTTTTTTAATTTAAAAGGCATATCAAATTATTGATTAAAATTAATTATTTATATATATTTAAAGTTTATAAATATTAATTTTTAGGGCTATGATTTGATCAATTTAATTTTTAACTTTGATTTTTTTTAATAATTTATGATAATTAATTCCCTGAGTCTATTTATATTAATTATTATTCTTTAATTAATGTTTTTATATTATAATTCAATAAGCAGCTATAATATTTAATATTTGATTATATTTTCCTTTCTATTAACAAGAACTAATAGATTGAAATTAATTGATTTATTTTTATATTGATTGTAAATCATATTAGTTTTATAAGTAATTTATGTCTAACAATTTTAGTATGAATATTTGACATTCAATAACCCAATCAGCACAAATAGCTACAACAACATGAGCATTATATGAAAAATACAGTAATTTGTAACTTCATAGAATACAAAAATTTGTACTGTCTATTATGTTTTATAAATATATATATAATTCATTTGTCACATTTGCAATTGCTTATGAGTTATTAAAATGAACTCAAAAACGTGTGCAAAATTTCCTTTGCTTCTGGAAAGAGAGGGCTATTCTCTATAACAGAACTCATTTATTTATGTTGGGGCCATAAATTTAAAATTTTCCTACCAATAATTCTTGACTCATTTTTGTTTGAAAGTAGTTCTTCTTCAATTTCTTTTGGAATTTCTTGAGATTCAATATATCGTAGAGACTTATAGTATCTATTTTTAATCATATTGACTGTTTTGCCGGAGAAATACCTTGTTATTTTGTTGAATTTAGGTCCTAATTTCTTAACAAGCAAGATTAGGATTCGATCCTCTTCTGCAGAGAATTAAGAAATTTAAGCTCTTGGTTTGTAATCAAGAAAGGCCTTTTGCTTTTCTTTGATGTACTTATAGATGGCGCTGCTTCTATCTTTCTATCCATATTGAATAGTTTTTCTTCTTTATCTAAATTACTTTGACTTAAAAATTCCATCTTCCTATTAGGAATGCGGTTGATGATGGAATTTTGTTTAGTAAGAGCTATCGTCTTCATTTGAGGTTAAATTAGAGTTAGGTTCTTAAGAGACTTTAGAAATCATTTACTTTCAAAAAAATATTAAATCCTTTTTTTTATAGTATCCCACATAAATTACACATAAGATCATATAAAATTTTAGAATAAATTTTATGAAATTATCATTTTAATTGCCAAAAAACTGATTTTTCTGTCTAAAATTTTAAACAGCATTAATGTTTTTGAAGATTTTCATAAAATTTATTAGAGTATAATTACTAAATTTTATGTAATAAATTAAATCTTAGATAAGTAAACATAATAAAGCTTAAGAATTAAAAATTCTTAAATAATATATTTTTCAATAATAAAATAGGGATTAAGGGTGTTTTCAATGTAGCATTTGTAATTTTTTCACAAATTTAACTATGTCAATTCTGAATGTATATCAGATATTTAAATATTGTATATTCTAAGATTTAAAGAATATTCTTAACAATTTCAAATGAATACCTATATTTTAGTCTTAATAATAATAAGGATTGTTAATAATGTGGACTATAATTCTGAAAATCGTAAGATAATGAAAGAGAGACTAGTTTTTGAATTGTAGATTGATAAAAGTAGAAATGAATGAGACATTTAAGTTAATCTATATTTCATAAAAATTGAATTATTGTATATGTAAAATTAGCATATTAGAACTTATTTGGTCTACGGAGATTCTGGATCTGGGAAGTCAACTTTTATCAATAGTTTAGGAGGAATAGATTCAGATAATCAAAAACCATAAACAGGTGGACTTGGAGTGGCTGTTACAATTGACCCTGGAAGAATTTATTATATTTAGGATGAAGTTCTTGGAAATATATAATTGATTGATACAAGAGGAACTTGGGATCCTGGTTAAATTAATAATGATTAAATTCTTTAAAATTTAGTTAAGACTTTACTCGACTATAGTGTTCATTAGATGAGTTAATAAGGTAATGAGTTTAATATTTATAAAAGTCAATCCAATATAATAATTAGATGGAATACTTTATATACATAATAGTTTCATAGATCGTTATGCAAGAGACACTAGGATAAAGTAATTAGGAATATTGATTGGCAGCAATTTGCATACTTCAACATTGACTATTATGACAAGATGTAAGGAAATATAGAATACAAATTTAAAATTCAATTTCTACGAATGGAATAAGAAATTACATAATAGCGAAATAGAATATATTCATTGGGATAGTGTAAATCCTTTAGAAAATTAAAAAGAAAAATTAAAAGAATTACTACTTAATTTAAAACCCATACCATTGAGTAATATAAAGGATGCAAATCAAGAGATTATTAAATTAGCAAAAGAATTGCAATTAAAAGATTTGATTGAAGTTGAAGAGCCTAGAGTCAGAACTATAATAAAATAATATACAAAAGAGAAATTAAAAAAAAAAACATCTTATACTAATGTAACATTAACAATCAACCCTCCAAAAGGCATTATGAATTAGATTGGAGGTAATAAAATTTAAATAGAATTCTAGGTTGGGTTCCCATAAAAATACCATATTTATCAGGAGGTGGAAATCTAACAACAACTTCAATAAGAATTGATGCAGATTTCCCTTCATATTCATTGCCTCCTAAATTAATATTATATTGTGATCTTGATAAAAGTTTAAATGAAATAAAAGGATAAAATTTGGAGATAATCAAACATGAATTTATAAACAATGGTGATTATTATGATGCTAATTTTTAATACAGATGGAATGGTATCAATAACGAAAATGTTGGAAGAGTAGATTTAAAAATAAAAATGATCATTTAATATAGATAAATCAAATAAAAATAAAGGGAAGATAAGGAAGAGTATTTTGAAAAAGTGATGAAACCAAGATATTCAGATGAAAAAGTATTTTCTTTATTTAATTTGAATAGCCATATATATAATAAGCTATGGAATAACAATTTGATAATTTATATGAAGGAATTAAAAAGAATTTTGAAAAATAATGAATAACTATTAAATTATTATTATTATTTTTTATAAAATATATTTAGATGGATTCTGGAGGTGCAAATACATTTGTTATAGAACCTAAAGATGAAGAAAAGTGATTTTTTAATCAATATAATTAGATTCTATCCATCTAAAGTGAAAAAATTAATTTAAGAAATCATGGATGATAAATTAAAAAACGAAACTTATGATGCTAATAACACTCCTAATTTAGCAGAAGAATTAGTAAAAAGAATAAGAAGTAAAGTTAGAGAATGTAAATGAATTATTTTATATTATTCTAAAGCTATCAAAATGCCAAGATTTAAAATTGCAGTTTAAGTTATAATTGGAGAAGTCAAAGGATAGGGATGTAAAGTAACTTCCAAAAATCTTTGGGATCCAACTTGGGATAATTATGCATCATATGCATTTCAAAATGTAATTCCTTTTTATTATAATTAAATAAATAGGAGAATATCTATGGTGTAGCAATAGTATTTGGAGTTTATTATGAATGAATTGATATTAGATAGTAATCGATATCATTTATTATAAATTTTATGAAACTCAAACAACATTTATAACATTGATAAGATTTTTGAAAGTTATAATTCTAATAGAGTTGGCATATATCATATCTTATATATTCAATAATAACTTTAGATTATAATTTTATTTCTAATATTGATTGCCATTCTATTTATTTGTAAATCTACTAATAATTTAATAATTCTTTCAATTTAATATTCTAGAAAGAAGAATAATATATTTAATCCTTCAAACTATGAAAATATTCCAAATTTTATAATCTAGAAATAATGATGCATTTAAGTATTAAATAGATCAAATAAAAATTGAATAAAAATACAGATGGCTTTAATTCGTCTAATATGTTATTCCTAATTATAAAACAAAGAGAATCATCATTAAAAGATAATAAAAAAAAGGAAAAGATATCAAGTATACATTGAATATTGATCAAAATATATTTCATTGTGTTTTAGACCAGTATATCAACTTAAAAGTAAATAAATAAATTACTTATATTATTCTATATTGCAATAATATCAACGAAAAAATTTCTAGAATATTTGAAAGTATGTTTAGACAATGAGATTAATTCAGATGTGATTTATTAAATTCATAATTTTTTTAAAGTCAATATTCTTCTTTGATAATAATTTAAATTATGAAATATTAGTCAATAAATAATTATTACTGATTTTTTCATATTGACCTATTTTCTTAATTAATGAAATAATAAAGATGTTATCTTACATCATGGTTGTATACTAAATAAAAGGAAGACTTGTCCTTAGTTCGAATCTTATAGATGACATTTATTCTAAAATTATTTAATTTTATTATTGTTTTTATTATCAGAGAATATAAATATTCAAGTCATTATTAGTCCAATAATGATAGTAATAAACTAGTTATTATTTCTAAATTGATTATTTTAGCATTCATTTTATAGTTTTATTTATTTTAAGAAAGAAGGATAGAAGAGTAGAAATTAAATTAAATATGGAAGAGTTTTAAATAGTTTAAGAACAATAAATTAAGTAGATATTGCTGGGTTCATAAAATGATTGTATTAAATTAAATATATATAGTCTAAGAAATATCTAGAAAATAATTGTTCTGATAAAATTTAATTTAAGGTAATTAATTCACCTATTTTAAATTGTTCCGTGAATCTTAAAAAAATTTCATTAATAATTTTAATAAAAAAAGTTTTCAAAAATGCCAAGAAGAAGTGGATCAGCATCAAGATCAACAGCTAGCCCATCAAGAAGCACAGCAACAGCTGCTAGACCAGCTCCATAAGTTTAAGCTCCTCTTTAAGCTCCAGCAAAATCTGGAGGTATGTTTTCAGGACTTGGATCAACTTTGATGTAAGGAATGGCCTTTGGAGCAGGTTCAGAAGTAGCTCATTAAGCAATTAGATCTGTAATGGGTGGATCAAGTATAATTAAAAATTTAATTTAAATAGGTCATTCTTAACCAGCTGAATAATAAACTCAATAATAAGCTCCTCAATAATAATAATAAACTTGTTAGAGTGAAAGCCAAATGTTTTCTAATGTAAGATTTTCAATTAAATTTTTAGTGTTTATAAACTAACTAAGATATCACAAGATGTCAACCATATATGGATATATTCAAAGAATGCTAAAAGAAATACAACTTATGATGATTTATTATAGATTTAAATAGCAATAATTATATAATATATTTTCATTAATTTGTTTAATTTGTTTATTTCAATTTCAATTATTTTTACAATTAATCTATTATTTGTTTCTCTCTCTTAACCTTTTATTCATAATTGAATATCATCAAAGCCTTTCCTTATTCAGCATTAAGAATTTGCATTTCCTTTCTTTATCTAACAGCATTCATTTTTCGATGTTTATTTCCAGACATTACATATCCTAATCCTTCATACTTTTCTATGTCTTCAGAAGTCAAACCAACCTCTCCTCTTCTGGGTATACGTTTTCCTGATTAAATATAATATGCAATTGCAGCTCCTTCTCCAGGTAACAATTGACTACCATAATTGGTTCTATGCTATAAGTTTTTATCGAATAATAAAGGCATAGGACCTATTTAACAAGATTTATCATTTTCTTCTTTCTTTTTCTGCATTTCTTCATTTAATTTTCTAACTTTTTCAGCAAAAGAATCATCAGAGTCAGTTTCTGAATAACTTAAAGAATATATTTCAAATTTTACTATTATTCTTCTTCATCTTGTTCTTAATCAATTTCTTCTTATTAATTAACTACTTCCTCTTAAATTACAATCTCTTTTGGTTCAGATTATTATTCTCTTTCTTATGATTTAGATGGTAGTACTTTTTGTAAATGTTCTCCTTTCATAATGGCATCCAATTTAGCTCTCCTTAATTTATCTTCTTCTTATTTCATTTATTCTTCTATGATATATCTTTGTTATCTTCTTTGTTCTTTCATAGTTTCCAAATCTAAATATATTATAAATTTATTACCTTTACGAACTTCTTCAGAATCACTATTGAATTGCCAAATGTTTGATTTTTTTATTGATTCTCTTCTTTATTTTCTTTGAAGCAAGTACTCTTAATATGAAACTTTAGAACGTTAATTCTTAACTTCATCTTCTCTACTCCTTGAAGTAGATGAAGATGATGATGAACTTCTATTTTACCATTTTTTCTTCATTTATATAATTATTTATATATTATTATATATATAAATTTAATTATCTAATATAAATGAAGATTTTAATGTATTTTTATTTCTGCTAAAAAAAATTACAAATAAAACCATATTTATTTGGATTATCTTTTAAATGATTAACTATAATAGATTATCATCTATTACAGCTTTATTTACTTTAGTGAATAAAAAATTTATATAAAAATGCTTTATTGTTTAAACAGAATTTAAATTCAACAACAATGTATTTATAAAAGCATCATCTCAAATTAAATAGATATAAATTGGTTTAACATGTATTTTAATTGTAATTTTAAACCCCTTCCATTTCTAAAATACATCTTCAAAATTAACAATTTATTAATAGATAATTTTTTTTAAAGCTACAACAGTAGTTAATATAAAAATTATTGCTTTTTTAGGACAATAAAAAAAATTGTTTGAATATTTCATCAAATAAATTTAGATCATGAGTTGCTCCAATAGATTTAGTTAAAATTTTTATTTACTAGTTCAACAACCTATGGAATAAATATGGAACTAAAAAATATCAGGAACCTCTTAATATTAATTAAAATCTTAATAATTAATTTGCTCTCCAAATTTATTTCTGTATTATTAAATATAACTATAATAGTTTAAAATTTATTTATATATCTCAATTCTAAATAAGTAGAATTTAATAAATTTAATATAGTAAATATTTTTTAATGCAACTTAATTCAATTGAAAAATATCTTAATGTAGGAAAATTATTAGAATCACCACCAAATTTTGAAATGGCATAAAATCATAATGTAAATTTTGATTATATTATAATAAAGAAAGCTCAAATTATCTACAAAGAAATCATAAGAAATTCAGAAAGATGTCCTTGTTGCAATTAATTTATCTAAACTATCAAGTATCCACTATCAACCGATATAAATGTCTTTAGTGAGTATGGTACCTCATACAAATACTTTAATTTAGTGAAAATTAAATTTATTCTACTAAGTATATTTTTGTAAGAATGATAACTCATTAAATAGCATTATAGCTGGATTATACAATTTGATATAAAGCTCTAAAGGAGACTTATGTATTAAGAGTTAGACTTGTAAAAAAAGTTTAAATAATTATTTATCACTTTTAAATAGATTTGATCCTGAGAAGTATTTCATACTTATAATCATTAGTTACTAAGATGACGTTTTGGATACATTATATACAATTGCAATAATTGTATAATTAGTTTTCATTCGATATATTTCATATAATATCAATGATTATTATAATGTGGATCATGACTATGATTGCGAAAAAACAATATAAAAATGTTCCTTGAAAATTTCATCAATACATCCTAATTGGTCAAGAGACAGGATAATTCAACATTTTTCAAATGGCATGTTGGGATAAAACTAAGTGCAATATTAAATTGTTGATTGTTGTTTAATTTATGATATTTCTCATTTAGAAACTTAATTGAAATTATAAATAATATAAGCCTTAAAAGAAAATTAAGATAGGTTAAGTTTTAATTAATTTATAGCTCATTAAAAGATATTGTAAAGAGAACAGTAAATTAGTTTTCAATTTTGAGAGATAGAAATAGATATTTGAAGTTTTCAGGTAGTGTATATATAACTCTTTCTTATGAAGTAATACATTTTATTCTATTATTAAGTAAGAAGCCATTAATTTTAAAAATTCGTTTAAATTAAATTTTGATGTGGAAAACTGCCCTAGACCTTCTGATGTATATTGGAAAGTAAAATAATTAAAAGGCAATTAAACATTAGAATTTATCAAATGTGCAATTGCATTTTGTGGATGGTTACCTAACATAGGAATTTAAGTGGCTAAAAATAATTATATTTTGTCAAATCCTGGAAAAACTCAAGATTAATTATACATTAATACATTATTGAGTTTGGTAATTGCTATTATTTACTATATTTCTACAAAAATTTGTATTTAAATCATCTAAAATTATATCCGATAAATTTCAGTGAATTCAAAGCGTCAGTTTTGGAAAGAATATCTATAAGCAAATGAATTTTTTATAAATACTATGTTTTATTTGTGGCCCCCTATATTTATAGCTGTATACTCAGGTGTAGGTACTCGATAAGAAAAGCTTTGGAGATCTGGAGGGTTAAGTGAAGATATTATAATGATATTTCTGACGAATGCTGGTTTGTAGATTATATTTACTATATGTGATGTAGATTATGCTTGGTAATTAATTAGAATTATTTATTACAAATATTTCAATAAATAATCAAATTTAACATAATATGAAGCAAATGAATTATTTTCAAAAGATTTAAATTTCAATAAAAAGAGGATTGATCTAACTAATTTAATTATACTATGTTCCTATTATGGTTATTTGTTTCCAATATGCTATCCTATAACTCTCATTTCAATTTTGATTATCTATTGGTTAGATAAATATTAATTTATAAATAATGGGATTAATGAGAAAATCAAATTTAAATATCGATTACAAAAATTTATCATAATGATGACCATATTGTCTTAACTTGGATCTACTCAAATAATAAAGATTACTTTCTTAGGTTATACATCTAGTAATGCTTTTACTTATATTTATTATGTTTAAGTAATTATTCTAATTTATATATTCTTTTACAAAAAAGAATGGATTTTTAAAAAGCGAATCTAAACTCCTATTACACAAATTGAATTAAATAGAAGTCTTTAAAATAATGAATTATACAGTGAATATAATCCAATTATTAATGATAAGAGATGGTCTATCTAAGAAAAAGAATAATAAGTTAATGAAATATAATTATTATTAAGGGCTTTAGAATAATTAAACAATCAAATATAAAGTAAATATTCAAGATAAGAAAAATTTTACAATGCTCTGTAAATAAAACTACTAAGAGAAATTGAATAGATATAGAAAAAGGAAAGAGTAGGCATAGCTTAAATATAGCCTATCTAAAATGATATCATTTGATAATTTTTCAAATTATTAGCATAATTATATTAATAATAATTTGGTAAATATAAGATATTTTATTTTTTCTAAGTTGTAATGAAATAAATTTTATCATTTTTTAACATTTAATATTGATGTACTTAACTTCTTTTTTATTTTATATTTTATCAATAAAATATTTAATAAAAGTAGTAGTATATTTTCATTAAATGCTTTAAAAAATTTAATTGTTAAATAGAGATTATGGAATTCTTGTATTATTTAATTTATATATTTTGTATATATTTAATTAATATGAATCATTCTATCGAGTATTATAATCTATAGTAACACAAACTTTATGAATACATGGTTGGATTAACTTAGAATGTAACAGGAGTAGAGAAGATTGTAATTATACTAAATAATTTAAGTTTGCAGAGTTGATAGCATGCCTACTTGATTTTAGTTCATAAATTTCAAGTATTGGACAAAAGTTTCACACATAAATTAGCAGTGGAAATGAACCAGATATATTAGTTTGTTTATATTAATAAGTGAGTAATTACTTATTAAGATTATCTTAAAATTGGGATAATACAGCTTAAAAAATTAAGAGTGAAATTGCAGAGCCTTATACTTAATTTGTTATAAATTTCAGATAGACTAATAGAAATTTAAATAGTGAATCAAAAAAGCAAGTATCTGAAATATTAGAAACAAGAAAAGAGATGTGTAAAACTTAAGAGGAATATTGGAGATTAATGAAATTATTTGAATAGAAATCTGAACAGGCATAATAAATGATAGATCATATTGAAAAAGGTCATGCAACTAAAGATGATTTTCAAAAATTATTTAACAATTCTCTAAGAGTTTAAGAATTAGCAGATGGAATGGAAAAGGATTATAAGAAATTATTATAAATTACAAATGAAAAATGGAAATAGTTTCATTAAGAATGGGATTCCATATATACTAATGTTGGTTTAAATGAATAGAGTAGGTAAAATATAAGATATAATATAGAATAATGTTTACTAAGTAGACTGTTAGTTCATTATTAAAATTATTGCCTTTTGATTAGGATTAATC